TAAAGTCAAGGTGCAAGTTCAACATTGGAATTCCTCTTCGCAGGCATGCCTTACGACAGTCCGCAGACGAAAATGATAAGGGATTTAGCGAGCAAAGTGCTATTCGCTCTGAGCCTGAACTTCTTCAATGCGGTCTTCAATCGGATATCGGCCAGGCTTCAGGAATTGTCCAACAGCGGCGATGAGAATCCGGACTGCAGTGACATCGAGTTGATGCAGTATATCAATGTCGACGTCCACAGGCTGACTAGGCTTCTGAACGGTAGGCGATGACTATTAAACGTGGCGCGATCATATAAAACGAGGATTTTAATTTGCATTGTACATACTCATTCACGTACACATTCGCTCGCTATCGCTGCAGAAACGATACAGAAAGTTCGGCAGCTTGTTGGCAAGAAGTCGGCGTATCTCGTGCTCATGAATCCCCTAGAGAAGGCGATCTGGAACTGGATGGACACGTATCCACAGGAGTTCGCCGATGTGCAAAAACAGCCTAACGAGGACCTCAATAAGGCGTGCGAGGAGCTATTCGACATTCTCGATACATTTGTCGTCGAGAAGAAGAGTCGTGCGGCCTGCGTTTGGCCGTTGCAGATGATGCTGCTGGTCCTTTCGCCGAAAGTGCTGGAAATCGTGAATGCCGATTCCGGGCCACTCGACTCGCCGCGATATTCGAGGAAAAAGCAGTTCATCGATAGCGTCAAGCGTAGTTTGAGGATGCACGGCAGTTCTTCCAGTCGACAGCTGTCCGAAGCCGCAGCTGTTACGTGTGTCAATCTTACGAAGGCAGCCACATATGTCAATAATACCGAATCGACCAGCAACGTTGTTCTAATTCTGGTGCAGCAATTGATGGACGATCTGATGAGCCTTCTCTTCAATCCTTCGAAACCGTTCTCCCGCGGGCAGAATTATAGCGCACAGGATGTTGACCTGATGATCGACTATTTCGTCAGTTCCTTCCGCATTAATCCACGTAACAACGAGGTCTTTAAGTTTTGTCTCAATACCAACTACTCGCCAACGTACCAGTTCGTCCTGGTCAGCTCGTTATACAAGCAAGTGCCGAAAATATTTTCTTGCGATCGCACGAGGATCTCGAAAATTTTCGACGAGTCTGATCGATTTCGATGCCATATTTCAGAATCTTCACGCAGCCAAGATTGCCATGGTGGCCGGAAATCAGTCTGGTATATTCATACGGCACGGAACTCAGGAACATGTTCACCGATACTCTGAACAAGGTGACGCAGAATTGCATGTGGAATACGCCGCTGCGCATGATTCACAATTTTGCGCTCAAACCGAAAGAGGAAATGGCCAACTCTAAGAACCTATTGTTAGTATTGGTGCGACTTATTCACGTGGACCCAATGTTGATGCTGCACGTATGTCATTTAATTAAATATAGTATAGTATGTAATAAGATATTAAGATATAACAAACGAAAAACACAACTATAGTTTTGGTTTTTCGTGTATATTTAAACAAGATACATATACGCTTATACATGACAAAATATATGTAGATTAGATTAAGTGAATGTTCAAGAGCCTTATATTAATTTAACGCTTTACAGAGTTACGGTACAGCTGGCCACGAAATACAAAGGTCCACTTTAGAGTTGATTAATGGACTTGTCTCATTGGTCCATCAGCCCACGATGCCGGACATCGCCCACGAAGCGATGGAGGCTTTGCTAGTGTTGCATCACCCAGACAAAGTCAAAGCGTGGAATCCAGAAGCGCCGCTCGACACTTTCTGGGACGCAAGTTCGCAAGTTGTCTTCTCGATCTCTCAGAAATTGATTCAACATCAAATTTATAACTACACAACCATACTTAAATGGCTCCGCGAAATATTGAGTTGCAGAAATGCTTTTCTTTCTCAGTATAAAGATTATGCGAATGTGGACAGTCATATCGCAATTAGTAAACAGGCGCATATTAAACTTGAGGTACATACCTTTAACCATTACAAAATTGAAGCTGATTGAAATTAATTCGCAAAACTTAATGTGTCCAGGTTGTTTGTCTAATATATTTATGGAGTATAGACATAGAGGCCGTTTTAATATCCATGTCTTGTTTCGCGTTATTATGCGAAGAAGCTGAAATTCTTTGTGGCAGCGACGAGGTAGCAGTGACCTGTCTACTTCCGAATTATCAATTGTATTTAGAATTGGCGCAAGCGTCGACCGTGTTGATTTCTGGTGAGTTTTAGTATTTCTTTTACTTATATTACTATGAGAACACTCAAAACAGACACACAAAGGTGTTCTCCCGGATTTAAAGATTTATTTGAAAATCTTTGAAGCTACTTTTCTATTTTAATTATTAAAATTCTTATTCGTCTCTAGTAGAGTATTAAAGATCTTGTTATCGTAATAGCCCACGGGGAGAGTAGACTGTGTTATCAGGAATATAATCACGGTGAGTTTTTATTTTTAATTTTATCTATTATCTTTACGTTCATACGTCACGTTTAATAAATCAATGTTTACAATTTTGACAGCTTAATGTTCTTTTTTTTTTTATTTTAGGGCGTGCTACATTACAAAAGAAAATATTGTCTTTGTTGAGAAAGATAGAACATTGCGTGAATGGTGTCTTACCAGTACGTATATTAATATTTATTTTTTATATATAAAAATTTTCTGTACGTATATCTAATGAAATATCAAGTATATAGAACATGTAATATTAATTATTAATTTTATTAATGTAATATTACATGTAATATTAATCTAATATTAATGAATCGATATCAATCGAACACAAATACACATAATATTTTTGAAAATCAACAGAATTTTGTCTTTTCAGGCTTGGGAAGAAACATTCAAAAATTGGGAAGTGACTTCGCGACAATTGTCCAGTTATCCTAAAACTAAGATCGAGGATGTACAGGTAGAACCATTTTGTCGCGGTAATGTAAAGCGGAGAGCGGCGCATCAGAATTCGGAGCACGAAATGGAAGAACAAATTAATGAGTGGGCCAATATGACAGGATTTCTTTGCGCTTTAGGCGGAGTATGTTTACAACGTCGTTCGCCTAATAGACTACTTTACGGTGTACTCTCTTTTCATTCTGAACATAAAAAGAGCTCGACGAAACAACAGGAGGCCCTCTCAGGTTTAACAAATTCCAATCAAGAAGGGCAATATTGTCCGGTAACGCAATTTGTGTTCAACTTACTACGATTATTAATTTGTAACAACGAGAAACTTGGCAATCAAATACAAAAGCACGTGAAAGAACTGGTGGCACATGAAATGAGTCCTGCCCTATATCCGATATTGTTCGATCAGATCAAAAATTTTGTAGAGAAATTTTTCGATCCACGTGGACACGTGGTGGTGTCCGATTTACATACGCAGTTCATCGAACATACCATATTTATAATGAAAAACATTTTGGATTCAAAAACGGATCAACCATCAGAATATCTTGGAATGACGAGCATCGAAGGTATGATGTTGGCAATCGTGAGATATGTCAGGCACTTGGACATGACAGTGCATTCGATTTGTATCAAAACTAAATTATGCCAGCTGGTTGAAGCTATGATGAAGAGACGAGACGACTTAGCGTTTAGACAAGAGTTGAAATTTCGGAACAAACTAGTTGAATATCTGACCGAGTGGGTAATGTGCGCGCATCCATTTTCCTCGACAACTGCCAACGACATCACAGCTTATACTAGGTAAAATATTTTCTACCATTCTACACATGTAACTTTTAAAATGTAGACTAAAAGATTATGATAATCAAATCTAATTTTACTTTTCTATAGAGATTTGGATCAAGCTTGCATGGAGGCAGTAGGAGCATTATTGCGCGGGCTCCCTCTTCAACCTGAAGATTCTGATCGTGTTGAGTTAATGGAAGCAAAGTCTGAATTATTTTCGAAATACTTTATGCTCTTTATGAATTTAATAAATTACTGCAACGAACCATCATCATCGGGAGACAAGGACGTTGTGTCTCGGCAATCGCCAACTTTAGCGACCAATAAATTAACCACTTTGCGCAACACTACTATTCAAGCCATGAGTAATCTTCTCAGTGCGAATATAGACAGTGGTTTGAGACATTCAATACGTAAGCAACAAATTACAGTTACATACTTTAATGTAGGGCTTTTCTGGGAATACGACTTAAATCCTAATTATTTTCAATTTTATTTATTATTTTATTTTCTTCAGAAAACTCAATAATTATCAGTAATTATCAGTAATTACCTTTATATTACTAAGTCTTTGACTTTTTCTTATTTAGATTTAGGCTATAATGCAGATCTTCAAACACGAGCTGCATTCATGGAAGTATTGACTAAAATCCTTCAGCAGGGAACAGAATTTGATACCTTGGCTGAGACTGTGCTAGCAGATAGATACGAACAATTGGTTCAACTGGTTACAATGATCAGCGACAAAGGGGAATTACCAATCGCCATGGCATTAGCTAATGTTGTAACGACAAATCAAATGGATGAGCTGGCGCGTGTCTTCGTGACACTGTTCGATGCAAAGCATTTATTGTCACCTTTATTATGGAACATGCTTTATCGAGAGGTTGAGTTAACTGATTGCATACAGACTCTCTTTCGCGGTAATACTCTGGGGAGTAAGATCATGTCCTTTTGCTTTAAAATTTATGGCACTAGTTACCTACAAGGCTTACTCGAACCTCTCATCAAACCCTTGCTGGACGAACCATCGATTAGTTTTGAAGTAGATAGCGCAAGAATCGATCCTAGCGAAAATATTGAACAAAATGGTGACAACTTAATTATGTTGACACAAAAAGTGTTCAATGCTATCGTCTCATCGGCAGATACGTGAGTCATCGTTTATTATAATTTGTGGATAAAGCCTCTACCTAAGCCATACAATCGTCGTCAAGTTCAAAATTTCTTTTAATTAATTCCCTAATTAATTTCAGGTTCCCTCCGCAGCTACGCTCGATGTGTCACTGCCTGTATCAAGTATTATGCAAGAGATTTCCGCAATCTCCGCAGAGCAATATCGTAGCCGTGGGAACGGTGATATTTCTGCGTTTCATTAATCCTGCCATTGTCTCGCCCCAAGAAATGGGTATCGTAAACAAACCGGTACCGTATGAGATCAAGCGAGGTCTCATGCTCATGTCGAAGATATTACAGAACATCGCAAATCACGTAGAGTTCAGCAAGGAGCAGCATATGTTGCCTTTCAATGATTTCCTAAGAACGCACTTTGAGATTGGCCGACGATTTATCATACAGATAGCATCGGATTGTGAAACTGTCGATCAAACTAGTCATCCTATGTCGTTCGTTTCGGACGCCAATGTCTTGGCCTTACACAGATTATTGTGGAATCATCAAGAGAAAATTGGCGATTATCTTAGCAGCAGCAGAGATCACAAAGCTGTCGGAAGGAGACCTTTCGACAAAATGGCTACGTTATTGGCATATCTTGGTCCACCTGAGCATAAACCAGTGGATTCCCAGTAAGTAGTCTCGAGCTATTAATATTTTTGCTCTGATTAAGTTGCAAATTTAATTCTACTACTTGCTAATACGAATAGTGAATTCATCCTATTAGTTTAAATTTCAGCTCGCTCTTTTCAACGGCTTATGTTCGCATGTCACGATGGGCGAACAAAGACATGTCGTCAACTAATTTCGAGGAGATTATGATGAAGCACAATATGCACGAGAGAGAAGAATTTAAAAGCATTCAGAGCATGAATATATTTTACCAAGCAGGCACCAGCAAGCAAGGCTACCCAGTATTTTACTACATTTCACGGCGATTCAAGTAAATCGCGCAAATCCTTTAGTTAAGACGTAGCAATAATGATACAACAAAGTGTTTACGCACTATTTGACTGAACTTTGATTTTCAGACTTGGCGAAACGAATGGCGATTTATTGATATATCACGTTATCCTAACTTTAAAACCCTTCTATCATTCTCCATATGACGTTGTTGTTGATCTCACCCACACGTGCTCGGATAATCGGTTTAGGACGGAATTCTTGCAAAAATGGTTTTACGTTTTACCCGAGGCAGCCTATGAAAATCTCCACGCGGTATACATTTACAATTGTAACAATTGGGTACGCGAATATACGAAATATCACGATAGTATCTTAGCGCCGTTGAAAGGCAATCGAAAAATTGTCTTTATCGATGGCCAAGGGAAATTAAACGACGTAATCGATGTCGAGCAACAGAAACTACCTGGAGCGACATTATCCCTGGACGAAGATTTGAAGGTATTCACCGGCGTCTTGAAACTATCTCACAAAGAGATGAGAGTATCCGTGAAAATCGGACCGACAACCCTGCAGATAACGCACACGGATAGATCAAAAGTCTTATCGCAATCCGTTCTCTTAAACGATGTCTATTATGCATCCGAGATAGAAGAGGTTTGCCTGGTGGATGACAATTCGTTTGTGCTAACTATTTCCAACGAAGCAGGTCCTTTGACCTTCGCTCACAACGATTGCGATAGCATCGTGCAGAATATAATCCACATTAGAAATCGTTGGGTGCTATCGCAACCAGATTCTATGTCCGTTCACTCAAAAATCAGGCCTAAGGACGTACCGGGTACTCTGTTGAACATGGCCTTACTGAATCTCGGTAGTCCGGACCCCAATCTTCGGACTGCCGCGTACAATCATCTGTGTGCGCTCACGGCGACGTTTGGTTTGAAAATAGAAGGTCAACTGTTGGAGACGTCCGGTATTTGCATACCGTCAAACAACACCATATTCATCAAACATCTCAGCGAGACCTTGGCCGCGAACGATCCGCATCTTACACTTGAGTTTCTCAAGGAGTGCATACAAGGTTTCAAGGAGTCGACTATCGAATTGAAGCACTTATGCCTGGAATATATGACGCCGTGGCTTAGCAATCTCGTGCGATTTTACAAACCTCACGATGAGGGCGGTAAACGTCAAAAGCAAGTTACGGAGATCTTAGATGATCTGATCACGTTGACTGTCCAGGAAATCGAGATGTATCCAAGTATACAAGCTAAAATTTGGAGCACAGTCGGCATGCTGCCGGAACTGATAGACGTTGTCCTTGATATCTTCCTCCAACGTAGCGCGCGATACGGTTTAGGCTCGCCGATGGCCGAGATTATGGCGGACACCGCGGTCGCTTTGGCGTCCGGTAATGTGCAACTAGTCGCCAAGAAATTAATTAATAAGGTATGTCGGATAGTCGACAAGACTTGCATGTCGCCGACGTCGCAGTTAGAACAGCATATAATGTGGAGCGATATAGCGATCTTGGCAAGATATCTTTTGATGTTATCCTTCAATAATTGTCTGGACGTTGGGAAACATCTGCCGTATATCTTTCATACGGTGACATTGCTCGTATGTTCTGGCAGCTTAACCATGCGAGCTTCTACTCATGGCTTGGTGATAAATAGTATTCACTCGTTGTGCACGTGCAGTTCGCCTTCGTTTTCCGAAGATACGCATAGAATATTACGGATGAGTCTGGATGAATTTTCGTTACCAAAGTTTTACTTGCTATTTGGTATCAGCAAGGTGAAATCCGCCGCCGGCACAGCTTTCTACAAACATCCAAAGTCCAGTTGTAAACACGCGAATGAAAAGTGGCTTAGCAGCGAGAGAAGCGCGTATGGGACGCAGGACAAGGAGAGACTTTATTTAACCAGTTTGGAGGTCATAACCGACGCCCTTCTGGAGATCATGGAGGCTTGCATGCGAGACATTCCGAAGTGCGACTGGTTGAAAACGTGGACCATGCTAGCGAAAAACTTTGCCTTCTGTTTAAATCCAGCTTTACAACCGAGGGCGCTTATCGTTTTTGGCTGCATCAGCAAAAGTATAACGGATCAAGACATGAGGCACCTATTAAAGATATTGATGAAGGCACTTGAGAGCTTCAACGATATTAATCTCATGGAAGCAATTGTTATGTGCTTAACGCGATTGCAACCTCTGCTGCGACCGGTAAGTTTTTAAATTAATAAAATAATTTCGTTTAAAATAGACATCGTTCAACTTTGTTTCGCTTTGTTTTCCGTTAAGGAATCGCCAATACATAGGTATTTATTCTGGGTTGCCACGTCTGTCCTCGAATTAGACGAAGCCTCCTTATACGCATCCGGTCTGGCTCTTCTTGAACAGAACTTGCACACGCTTGACTCGCAGGGCACTTTCGATGAAAAGGTTTGCAGACATTGATTCTTTTTGAATTTTTTTACCAATCTCTAAATATCGCTTTTAAAATGATTGATTATTTTTTTCAGACATTGGAACATGTAATGATGACAACGCGGGAATCTCTGGAATGTCAATTTAAACAATTAGATCACACCGTGGGCTTATCGTTTAGATCCAATTTTCATTTCGCGTTGGTCGGTCATCTCCTGAAAGGCTACAGGCATCCTACACCAACCACGGTCACCAGGACGGTCAGAGTTCTGACGATGTTGCTGGCAATCGTGGCTAAACCCTCCAAAAGGGATAAATTTGAAGTAACACCCGAAAGTGTTCCTTATTTAACCGGTACGGTATTTATCGATACTTGAGAGATACTGAAGAGGATAAATATTTATCAAGATTTCTTTTTTTTAATTATATTCGTATTTTATCCTGTAGCGTTAGTGGCTGTGTCAGAAGAGGTTCGTAGCAGGTGTCACATTCGACATTCGCTTGACAAGAGCTTACACGATTCTTCAGGCAGCTCAGATGTCCTCGATACTCTGCCATCGCGCAATACGGTAACTAGATTTTCTCCGTTTATAATATATTTGTATTTATGTGTAACATTGTATTTATGAAATGATTATTGTGCATTTGCCAGGATATGTCCGGAGCCTCTAATCCTACGAGCAGAAGACAGAAGACGTGGGACTTACTAGATCAATCGGCGCTCACACAAGCGAAACAGCAGAAACAATCTGCACAGGTATTAATCGTATAATTATGCGCATACGCGCTCGCGAATCTTTAAGAATCTCTCCTTTACGAGCTACAGTGATAAGCATTGCGGCGCGTAGCCTTTTTAACTTTTATTCGTTTAAAATATCGTAGGAATACCAATTTTTGCGTCCTTGAATATCTTCTCTTTTTTTCATTATTATTTATGTAGTATACATGTTGAAATGTAGCGTCATATCTTCGCACAATTATTTATTTAAAGAGAAATTATACCCTCGAGCATACGGAGAGCATGAAGTTGGACTTTGGAACAATGCACTGCATGATCCTAATTAAAGGAATCGATGCTCGCACGAAGTAAAATTATTCAAAGCTTATTTCTATCTCAAATACGAAATTATCTCGTAAAAGGTTCATCCGTAATTTGCGCGATGAATTATATAGCTTCTATCGCTATCGCTATTTGCTTATCTTATTCTACGAATTGGTTGATAAAATCTTTCACTTTTACCAAGGAATATCCATTCGTCGAATCTGCCTATTTCCTAAAAACTTGCGCGCGCGCGCGCGCGCGCGTGTGTGTGTGTGTGTGTGTATTATCTACAAAAAGCTATAGCAAAACGTATTTGCATATCCATATGTATCTATCTGGAATTATTCTATATCTCTTTTGGGTATGTATCCTATTTTATTTACCTACTTACCTTGATGACGTATAAAGGAGACTCGAAGTCTGAGCTTTCAAGCACGAGTTGAACGTGAATTGATTTCGCGTAATCTTGCGCGTAATCTTGTCTGTTCTTTGCCACACTCTTCGATTTGATTTCCAGTTAATACCAGTAGACTTGTTGCGCATAGCCTATAACATTGTTTCATTCCTACCTGCATCTCTGTTCATTCTCTCGGTGTGTGCCCGCGCCTGCCTGTGCCTGCCCGGATTATATAAAACATCATGCAACTTCATGTCACTAACAAGACTGGCCGGCTTTTATTTAAATCGCAGCGATCCTTGAGCGTGCCGAGCGCAAAGGACGACAAGCCGACGGACAACGCAGAGCAACAGGTACTCATCATTTTCACCAACGCCAATTTTCTTGTATTTCTTTTATTTGTTTAATTATTCGATATTATACTTCTTCGAGAAATATCAATTCTTGCGAGTCAATATAACGAAAAGATTTATGAATATATTTGTGTCCTTATATGTAGAGAGATCGTAGCACCAGAGTGAGCCTAAGCAATGAAAATAACGTCTTACTCGATCCGGATGTACTAACGGACTTTTCGACGCAGACCTTAGTACTGACCATGTTGGCCACGTTGGTGAAGTATTCTACCAACGAAAATGAAACGCGAATCCTCTACGAGTATCTGGCGGAAGCAACCGTAGTTTTTCCGAAAGTTTTTCCAGTCGTGTAAGTTTTCCCAGAAGGGATCCATCGAAACTATTCTATAACTGTAAACTATATAATTGCAAGCTAATAACTATAAACTATATAAAATTTTGACGACTTATCGAATATTCTTCAACAGACATAATTTGCTCGACGCGAAGATCAATAGCGTATTGTCTTCGTGTCATGATCAAGTGATACTGAATGCGGTTCAAACTATCATACAGAACATGATAGCCTGCGAAGACACGAATCAACAGCATCATTTGCAACACTATTTGCAAAGCTGTGGATTCCGCGGTCTCTGGAGGTTTGCGGGTCCTTACACGAACGTAAGTTCTGGAGTAAGTTCTTGAGTATCTTATTGTTTTCTTAGCAGATAAAGACTTATAGTTTTGGCATTAAGACACTGATTAGATTTAAAAAAAGCTAATTTTATTTATTCTTAAATCAATTGACGATACATTTATAGCCCAATTGTACACCCGAGAGTGCCGAATTGTTTGTGAATTGTCTAAAAGCGATGGTGGAAATGTGTTTGACGGGGCAAGAAACAACTGTTGGAAAAAGTAAACGCGCCGGCAGCTGTCAATCCGATTTCGCGTCGAAAACGAGATTATCTTCAGAAATTGCCCAAGAACAGTCTCCCACGGAAGTCGACGTTTCCTCCGTTCATATCGAGTGAGTCTTATTTTATTGGCGTCTTATTTGTTCGCCAATTAAATGATTTTGCTAGTTATGTCACGCGTAAACAACAATCAAACTATTAGGTGTACAAAAAAGTTTTGAGCTTTTTTTGTAAAATTCAATCTTTATTCAAAAACAAACAAAAAAATATTAATCAGCGAAATATTCCCCGTTTGCATCAACGACCTTTTGCCAGCTTTCGGGCTAGCTTGCAAATTCCTTGACGATAGAAGCTCACCGGCTTCGAAGCGATAAAGTCATCAATGCATTTTCGTATCTCTTCAAATCTCACGAAATGTGTATCAGCCAAATGATGCTGCAGCGACTGGAATAGGTAGTAATCGGAAGGTGTCATGTCTGGGCTATACGCCGCGTGCGGGAGAAGTTCCCAGCCTAACGCAAAGATATGATCCTGAGTCGCTTTCGCAACATGTGGTCGAGCATTGTCATGAAGCAGGATCACTTTACGACATCCTTGACCAGTAAATGGCCTCTTTTCTTCTAATGCATCGCTCAAATTGGTCAATTGTTGTTGGTAGCGGTCTGCCGTGATTGTTTCACCCGGTTACAACCTAACCTAACCTAATCTAACCTTGTTACAACAACTCCTCGTCGTAATACAACACACCTTTCCAATCCCACCAGATACAGAGCAAAACCTTCTTGGCATGGATATTGGGCTTTGGCGTCGATGTCGAAGGTTGACCAGGGTCAACCTATGATTTTCTACGTTTAGGGTTATCATAAAGAATCCACTTTTCATCGCCTGTAATGATTTTGTGTAGAAAATCTTTTTTCCGGAACTTTGAAAGCAAAGTGAGTGCAGTGTCACGCCGACGATTTTTGTTGTCTTCGGACAATTCATGCGGAACCCATCTGCCTTCCTTCTGAACCTTTCCCATCGTATGTAAACGTACGGAAATGGTTTGCTGCGTAACGTCAAGCTGTTCTGCAAGCTCCTTTTCAGTTTGCGCAGAGTTTATATCCAGCAGTGCTTGCAATTCGTCCGTTTCAATCTTTTGAGGGCGTCCAGCACGCGATTCATCTTCAAGACTGAAATCTCCTTTCGACGAAATTTTTGATACCATCTTTTACATGTAGTATACGTTCTCTCCATATGCAGCACAAATCATTGCAGTGGCTTCAGCAGCATTTTTCTTTAGATGAAACGCGAAGTGGATGGAAAATCGAATATGCTCTTTTGTTATTGCCATCGTGAACACTACTGATTTTTGAGGTTATGTGCATCAAACGCCAAATCGTATGGCATTTTAGAAGGCCAAACGTCAACGCTTTAAAACCGCAAAAGGGCGGGAAGATATATATAAAATTTAAATTGTTATTTCGGTTGTATGAAATCTAAAGCTCAGAACTTTTTTGTACACCTAATATATCAAACTAATTAAATTAATTTCAGTCATAGAATAAATAGCGGACGAAATGATTCGATTGAAGCGAATCAAACTGAGGATACGGGTGGCGGTGACGGTGGCGGTTCGCAACCTTAGCAATTAATGTATGACACTGGCAATGCGAGGCAATGCGATAGAGAGGCGCGTAAGAGGCAAAACAATCGAAAATTGCAACGGCAGATGAGGTGTGTGAACTCTAAATAATCGCATTGTAAATATAGGTGAGATTATTAATAATCTAACTAGAAGAGATTATTGTCTCTGTACGGTATAAATATAATCGTGTCATGAAAGTAATTTATCTGCTAACATTTTACTTTGCAGAACGCATACATTTGTTCCGTGTTATTGTTGCAACATGTCCAGTCAGTTTAGCACAATGCCGTCCACATTACGATAACAGGCCTACAAAAGGTGGAAATTGACGACAGCGATGTTTTCGTTACATTAATTATTTTGATTTCACTTCAAACTTTCCGTTGTCCTGTATATTGATGATTTTGTGTTCTTTTTAAACTTACTTATTCTATCAGTCAGTCGTATAAAACTTGCTATCTCGATTTGATAGTTTGGCTATGAAATTTTTAAATGATTATTATGATTTTTATATACATATATATATATATATATATAAATTATAATATATAATTTAAATGATATGTTTATGTTTTTACAACGAAACTTGTAAATTGTAAGCGTAAATTCACTACTTTTTACTATATATATCGTAAAATTGGATTTCACATTTTAGAATATATCTCATATAATATCTTGTCTTGATTTAGCAATTACAGACTAATAGACGTAATAATACGAAAACAATTTATGATTTTCGCGCTAGTCAGTTTTATCGGAAAAAATTTCCGTTAAATTAGCAACGAGTATTCTATGTTCGATATTTTTTCATAATTAAGCGCTTTATTCATCGATTAAGCCTCTGCTGCCGCACGGCGGTCGCCATATATTCAATACATATATAGAATCTCACAACTGTTCATAGAGAACCAACTACGAGATAAATAGCAATATGATAAACATTACTCGCAATATCGTCGTGTTATAAAAATGTATATTAAGAGTCGGTTCTCTCTCAAACAGTCAAGCAGTTCGGTTTTGTCCGAATATCATAAGTAAGAAATGACATGCGGTAAATGACATGGTTCTTTGCAATAGCTTTAGTTTTTATATTTTTCTCAAAAACACATAGAATATTTTCATATTCTTAATTAATCTTTAATCATTCTTAATTAATAAATTTAATTTATTAATTTATTAATTTTCATATTCTAATAAAATTGTAAAATATATCAGAAATCGAGATATCTGTTCGATATACCACCTAAAAGTATAAAATAATTCTTGAAATAATAACTTGAAATAATAACTTTTCTCAGTTCTCACAAGGCGGTTCTTACACGAGCTGACTTTTCACATTTAATTTAATTTATCAATTTTCACACAATATATACACGTTATAAAATTCACTTTCTGTATATATTTACATACGTAATATATATTATAATATATTTATAATATATTTACATTTCTCACCTATAAGAACTATAAAATCAATGTATGACTGTAACGAGAGAGCCGAGCCTTAAGCACCACGCTTCCATTACAAAAGAATATTTTGTTTATGATTTGTTTTCAAGTAATCAATTGTGAAATATCACGAACCGTTTTTATTGCAAAAGAATCTCTGTTGGTCCTCCTAAGGTCCTAAAAGTACGTCAGATACCGTCTTTCCACGTCAAGCTTTCCACATCAAGAGCAACTTGTTCTTTCTCATATGCCGTTGTATAGATCTCAAGTATTAGTGTAAAGATGATTTGGACCAGTCGCGCCTCTCGTCTCAAGGCAAGATTTGAAGCCTTCGGGACGAATAATTTCTAGAATTATCCTATGAAGAGAAACACCAATGTAAATGTATATTGTCTACCAATTATTAAAGTACAAAACGAGACCAAGCGAGACCATCTTCTCCATACTGTAACGTATGCCGGTATATTTTAGTAACAAGGAGAAGATGAAAGAAAAAATAGCGAATGTAAATTGACGAATCCCGAACTTGTGTTAGTTTCGATGAACATCAAGTGAGGGAGATCATGTTGAAGTAGTATTCCGATATACATATATATATATCGCGAAGATCGCCTACCTTATTCAAGTTTCATTTATTTATTTAAATGAACTTTTATTTGACGCCATAGCCAGTGTGACATGTATAAATAATGAAATGTAAGATTGAAAATTTACGATGTAAGATGAATATTTTTGTGCGGCTATGCAGGCAGAATGAATAGTAGCTTTTCAACGGCACTAGAATGACTGTTAGGAGTTTGAGAGATGTATTTGTACATAGTGCGTTGTAAAATGTTTGTACAATCGTGGCGATTTTGTATATCTGTATATTGATTTTGTCCGTCTGTATTTTTAGACAAGTTTTTAGGGACGCGCAATGATGCGTCATAGGAAATCGACGGATTTCTGAATTTATACGTTGATTTCTACGTATAGAGCTTCCTTTCGAGCTTGTACTTAACGGATGAATTTACGTCATGAATTTAAGTCGTTAATTACTATTACACGAGCTTTGATCTTATTAAATATTTATATACGCTAGTCATATTTTAATATCGAAAAGCTCGAAATAACTTTTTATGTTGTTTCTTATGTATAATCTTTATTCCATTATTAAGCTTTTGTTCAATCAATTTTTTTTTGTCATCTGCGGATGTACCATGACATGTAGCGTAAAATGTAAATAACTATTGAATTAATTACTTACTCGTTACTGAATATTTATTCGTAAGTCGTTATTTTTATTCGCGCAGTTCGGATTTATTCGGAGCGCATCCGTAATATCCGCCGTATTATCTTTTGCCAAAGGTATAAATCGTCCCTAGGCTGCGTTAGGTAAGGCGATTAACTCTTTAACGATTATGTATAATTAAGAGAGAGAGAGTGAGAGAGAGAGAGAGACAGCTCGTAATTGCAATCGCTTAACAGGTACGCATCGTATTCGGATTTGTCGTCAGCTCGGCATGTTTTCCTTTTCGGATCTCGTGTTCTCGCGAATATATTCCTAGAGCGTGTGTTACTGCGATGAATCTGTAAATATAAAAAATTTAGCCTGTAAAGAAATTGACGGAACAAGCAAGAGTCGTATGTCGGACTAGCGAGTATTCGTCCAAAGACATTCAAGAAATGCGTACGCACATTCTTCTTTGAGCTTTCTTTCGCAGCACGATTTATATAATTTTATATATATAAAAAAAGAAAGAAAAAGGGAGAAGTCATCGATATCGATCTTTTCGACTTCGCAAGACTTTCGTGTCTGTTGATTGTTTTGCTGCGACTTCCACCGGCGATTTAATTCCCAAATATTGATATTTCACATTGGCGTTACATTCGAGCGCGTATTTTCCACATACCCGTTGCGTTAGACTCGCCGTGCCGTTATCCAATTTTTGTACATATTTTTGTACACGAATTAGTACGTAACGCTATCGGATAGAGTACGCGCGTTCCGACAATACCAATGTGCGAGAAAACGGTGCGCGTATACATACGTATGTATATGTAAATAAAAAACGGAATCTCTGTTTAGCGGATCGTGATACGCACACACAAGATAGTTAAATGTTAAATGTTTAAATGATAGCTCTGCGAAACTCTCGATTCGCGCGGTCGGCGAATTAATTTTTCTCTCGATCGAATCTCTTCACGATGTGATTATCTGGCCTTTCTACGAATCGAAAAAGAGACAATTTTTTTCTGTAAATACATCCATCGAGATTAAAACGCTGTTTGTTAAATTGGAACCTACTAAAGAGAACATTTATTATTTCACGCCTCTTCACTTCTTTGTTGATTTAAAGATTTCTCTCGAATGCTCGTATTCCATTCCTCCGACATCATACATTCTCTTGCGTTTATTATTTTTCATTGAAATTCTCGCATATTTTTACAATTCTATTCCGAATTCTATTTTATTATTCTGCATTATTCTGACACACAGAATATTTACACCAAATAGTCTCGTATGTCTCGTATAGCCAATTTAAATATCTGTAAATGGCATTGAAATAATTTATAATCTAATTTAAAATTTAAAGATTGTTGTTTGGTTTCTCCTTAATCTAATTTTAAGCTTTATGTAATTAAATTTGCTGCAATTATTGATGTAATGTTTGCAATGTTCACGTCCTTACGTCTGGGTTTACGACGGGGTTTTTATGAAAATTCCTAAATTCCTAAATTTTATAGGCTCGCAACGAAAAGAAATTTCTCTGAATGCTCCGTAATATGTTTTACAAGAAAGAAGAATTCATGTCCATTCTACTGTAGAAAATGTAAATTAACTCGAATTAACTTCTTCTTATCTTTTATCTTTATCTTTTTTAGATGTAGAAGAAAAGAAGAAAGAGATAAAAAGCAAATTAAATCGAGATTGAAATTTCATTGAAAATGAAAATGAATATCGCTCATTTGCTGTAGTAACGATACCTATAACTAAAAAAATAATCATTTTTAAGTTATTTGAAAAAAAGAACGGATCTTTCAAGGATTCTTATTATTATAGTAGAACCGCATGACTGAATTTTTAAAACTTGTATTTTTTACATCAAAAATGTAGTCATCACGAGTCATAAAAACAGATTGTTTTTAAGGATTTATTTTTATAAAGTTTTAATACACTGAATAAAGAGATAATGATACTTTTATTTTTCTACAATTATTTAATTGCTACGTTGAAATTGCGGTCAAAAATATTGTAAACTCTCAATGATTCGAAATATTTAAATTTACTGACTGGAAAAATTTATTTTTTTTTTTTTTTATATTGTAGCAAGTGAGCGATATATGTACTTGCTTGGAACGTTTGGAACGACGATACTGAAATTCTTTTTCAATTGATCCTATTTTACTTTTATTTCAAAATTTTTTATTACTTTTCAACAATATACATTAAGGCTCTACTGCACGATGGAGGAAATATTAGAAATAACAGAAATTAGAAATTAGGATTAAATATTAAATTTTAGAAATAAAAATTAAACGTAACGCATAATGAATACAAAATAAAAATAAAAAATAAGACGTAAGACCTAAGAAATTGACCAACTACACTCGATTATTTTTCTACAAATCAATTATGATTAATTAATTTCTTAAATCTTACGCCTTAAAGTCTCATTGTAAACGCCGCTTTAATGTTGTAATGATTTCCTTACTTACTTAAGTCAGAGTTTACTCAGTTTTTTTATGCGCTAGGGCCCTAACATTGAGAAATACAAATGTCTCGTTAAAAACACTTTGTGTTCACGATGTAAAAAATGCGATCGATGTCTCGGATAAAGAAAAAATTGACCAATTATATTGATCAATTGGCGGAAATAGTCATTGCGATCGATCAATTTTTTCTCGGATCGATTTCTAGCATCGTGAATACGGCTTAACGTCATTTCCTATAAATTTTCCTATGCACTCGTTCTTCTAATGATCACAAACATAATAATTCAAAGTTTCTCGAAGAGTCAAATATATCGGTTTTGTATACCGATACTGAAAATATGCCTATACTGCATAGGAATTAA